ATACTCCAAACCTTTTTACTTATTTATTCTTTTTATATTTCTACAAAATTTAATGAAAATGAAAAAAAATAAGTGTTTGTCGTTTTTCATTTTGCTCAAAATTGTTGTTCCAAATTATGGCTTAAAATTGTTTCCTAAAATAAATTTTGGTGTTGCTTTTCTTATGCTTTGATTTTTTTTATCTCAAATAAAATAATAATAAACTAACATAAGAAATTTTGAGTTTAGCCCCTCACCACCATGACTAGAACCACAAAAAATTTGAGAGGCTAGATTTTGTGAATAGTACCATTTGAAGGGGCTAAAACAGGACCTAGCCCTTTGTGGCTTGCCCTTGCATTAGACATGCTCTTATATGAGAAAAAGAACATTACCTGACCACCGTAAAGAAAAAAGAATTTAGGGTTTCATTTTGGCCAGACATCATGAGACATGGGGCATCACGTACGGCTTTGCCAACCGGCAAGTTCGTGAGAAACGACATATCTCCAGGCTTTGCAAACTCTGCTAACAGATATACAATCAGTGTCAGAGGCAGTAGCTCAAAGATTATCTCAAGGACACCCCGAGGAAGCACTGCCCAACATCATTGACAACGTTGTCCCAAATTTCTCTACTTGTCTACAAAAAGAAAGCTAATAATATGATATCCTAATCCTTATGTGAGAAAACAGCAATAAACAGCTAATTTAGTTTTAATTTTAACAATTAATCACAATAATCCAACCAACTTCATTAAAACATCAACGCCCTCCCTGATTGCCACCACCACTTCCTATATTAACATTAGCAGCTGAGGATTGAGATCAGCAATCATCTCTTCATTTATATAATTTGCATTGTATTTAATCCCTTACATGCGCACTACAAAGCTAAATACTATAACAAGAGTGGTCTTTGTGAAGGGGATATTCCGGGTGATATTGGCTGCCTGTCCTCTTTAGTAGAATTAAAGTTTAGTGGAAACAATTTTGTTAGCCTTCCAGCAAGCATTAGATGTCTTTCTAAGCTTAGGTTATTTCGCGTGAACATGTGCCAAAGGCTTCAACAATTGCCCCATCTTCTATCAAATAGCACACTATAGACATAAACACAGACAATTGCACTTCCTTAAAAATGATATCAGGTCTGTTAAAGTGGAACAGAAACGGAGAAATAGAAATGTCTGCTTTTACTTTGTTTTCTTCCAATTGCTTTGGATTGGTCAACAATGAAGGCTGCAATAGTTGAACACTTCGAATGCTATGGAGGTTCCTTCAGGTGCTCTCTCTCTCTAGCCATATAATCCCACCCAAACTTTTTTTTAAAAAAATCTTACGGTAAAATATCCACCTAAAGTGGGGCTCTCTGGCTTTTGCCACATGCATGGCTACCTATCCACACCTTGGTGGACGATCTGGATTCGTTTGGATCTCTCTCTCTCTCTCTCTCTCTCTCTCTCTCTCTCTCTCTCTCTCTCTCTCGAAATGATCGAAAGTACTTGCGTGCTTATTGGCCAGGTTTGCATGAAATTTTCACCTCAAAATTTACAGGCTCATGAGACCTACCTGGTTCTTATTGACACTACTTATGTGACTATTTAAACTGCTATATTCTGTTGTGTGCAGGATGGAATAAGCCAACAAGAATTCTCAATCAGACGCATAAACATTGGCATTGATCTGATCTAAAACCGAACAATTGCTTTGTCGAAACTCCTCCCTTGTCTATTTCATTGATCATATCTTTGACAGTTTGTGCCATCTCTTATTCAATTATGCATTCTTCTCCTATTTAGCATCTCTCAGTTTCAAATTATGCAACAGAATGGAATTCATGAGAGGTTCATTAACATCACAATAAGTTGAGCAGAATTTGGCAGTGCTAGTTGTATCTGGAATAAAATTATAGTATCTTTTTCATTGTAAAATATTTGGAGAATTGGAGTTAAGAAGTACCACATGATTGATGAATTCAATCTGGTCATAAGAATGTACTTGAATTTTCACATTAGGGAAATATTTTAGAGCTATCATTTTGTTTTATTGTTATTTTCACATAGGTGATTTATGAATGAGAAGTTGTCAATCTAGTTAAGATGTACTCACATTTCCACAAAAGCAGAGAATGTAGTCTTCATATTAATATTCACACAGTAGTCTGTCTTGATGACAAGATTTCACGCTAGGGAAATCATTTGAGTGGCAATAATTTTGGAGCAATTATTTTCTTTCAATTTTATTTTGAGACATTTTGGAACTACAATTAGACATATGTTCTAAAAATTAAGATGTATTGTAAGCTATAGATATGTTCAAACAAACAGAGCCGAACAAACTTCCAAGAGCCATCAACCGAAGGCCGAATGGCACCAAATAAAAGCCCAAAATGAAGCCAACTCAAGTATCTAGCTAATCAACAAATCACAAAATTATTAATTTGTCTATCTCTAAGCAAATTCCAATGAGAATTGAAGCATAGTTTGGAGTCCAATAACTAAAAATCTAATAGAAAATTAAAATTACAAATGTGGGTTAGGTGAGTTGGTCAAGGTAGTGTGCTTGTCCCTTGCACCCGAGTTCAAACCCCTCTCGTACTGTACATTACAATAGGTTGAAATCGACTTTGTCAATTTGAGAACAAATTTGAAATTAAAATGTAAAGCAAACATAAATTTAATCATCCAATTATGAGCATGAATAATGAATATACACTACTAACCAACTTTCGGTAAGCAAACGAATGGTTGATCCTTTTGAACATCAGCAAACAAAACCAACACTAGCAAGCAAACCAACTATCACAAAGACCATAAATTATCCATTAATTCGTCTGTGGTTGGGAATACGTTTAATTATTTTAATTCCCACAATTTTTTTTTATATGCATCATCAGTTGATGAGTTGAGTCCCATCAACTTCTCCTGCCATTATGAGTTACTGTTTAAGACTGAATGATTAGAATAATCAGTTTCTAATGAACTTCTCCTGCAGTTAAGTAGATCATTGTCATTATGAGTTACTCTCAGCAGCCTCTTCACCGCCCAATGCACGTAACGGTTTTTTTTATTTTTCATTTTATAACACAATCACCTCACCATCTATATAAAAACCTTCATTCGTATCAATCCCTTACTCATCCACAATCAAAATCAAAATGGCAGCTTACACAACTTTCAAGCTCTTCCTTCTCACAGCTCTTCTAGCCTTGACTATGCCATTCTTACCCACAAGTGCTCGCCCTTTGAATCCTAAAATAATTTGGTTAAATTTGAACCTCGTGGCCAGGTTGAATTTGGATGAAGAATCTTCCAACTGCTGGGACTCTTTGTTTCAGCTCCAGTCATGTTCTGGTGAGGTTGTCATGTTTTTTCTTAATGGTGAGATTTACTTGGGTCACAGTTGCTGTGAAGCCATTTGGACCATTGAGCATCAGTGTTGGCCTGCCTTGGTTGGCACACTAGGGTTTACTGCGGAAGAGACTGATTTACTCAAGGGTTACTGCGATGAAGCCGATCATGTTAAATCCCTGTCGTCAAATCCACCATCACCACCATCAAGTCATGATCCTACTAATTAATGTAAAAGTTGTTCCTGGTTCGAATAAGTTGGTCGCTTGAAGAATTTGAGATCTTCAATCAATAATAGTAACGCATATGGGGTCTTTGGCCACGTTACTTACTTAACTAGTAGGGTCTATTTTGTTCATGATCTTAATTATGTTTTAGCATGAATTAGTCGCAGTGTTTTAATGGCTTAATTGGGCTTACCTTTATGAGTGTATTACTATTTAAGACTAAATGATTAGAATAATCAGTTTCTATCGAATTCTATATGCAAAGCACCATATTTTTCACTTAGTTACAACAAGGTAAAGGGGATTAATTCAACAAAAAATCAACAAAATGATTTTCCTGTGCATATTTTCTCAACTCTATATTCTTATCGATATATTGTGTTAATTAAGTCTGGCTAAGATTTATACGCAAGGGGTTTATAGCTAGTAGTTAAGACTATTTATACCACTGCATAGGTTCTAGGTTCGATTTCCCCCTCACTCAATATCGCTTGTATAAAAAAAAGATTAATACCACCAAAAAAATCATATAAAACTTACACCGAGTAAACGATTATTAACAATGAAATACATGACATGCTAAAAGAAAACCGGATATATACAGTACCCTTTAAACAAAGAGTCTTACTTATAGACTCAACATGCATCAATTCTCAGACACAAAATACTGAGTATTCATCATAATTAAACAATCACACAAATAATTAAAGAGATGCACAGTGCATAATTAACCACTTAATTTGGTAATCAATAAAGATCGATATTGATTAATTGAGATTATTTAGAAGAGGTGGTGGTGCTTCTTTCCATGAGACTCTTCCTCTTTTCTCTCTGACTCTCTCTCCTTATGATGCTCGTGGAAGGCATACCCACCCGAACCAACTGCCCCTGTTGCACCAATCTCCTCCTCTATCCTGTGCCTGCGAGCATGCTCTGTGTCTTTCTTTGCCTCGTGCTTCTCATACTGCCCAAAAAAAAAAAAACTTAAGGGTCAAAGTTTCTCCTTTTATATATCCAAGCTCAACAATTACAAAACATTATATTTCAAAATTATATATGTGATATATCCTATAAATTTTCATTAGTGTTAGAAAATAAAAAACTAGAGTTTGATTTGGTCTGTTGTAAGTTGTAACCAAAACAAGATTTGGCCTTATAATTACATATAATTAATCACTATACTTTAAGTGAACGCAAAGTAAGATTGGCAATTATATATTTTGTCAATAAGATCTGGATAAAACTTAGCCTAATTAATCTTCCACTTCTTCGGTTATGTTCTATTTAAGTGAACGGGAAGTATGTATTTTTTTACGATAAATTCTTAGATATAACGGGTGTATATATCATTTAGATGATTGATTATCATAAAATAGGTGATGTATACTTATCCATCATACTAAAAAATTCTTTGCAACGAGATCGATCACAAATCATGCACTAATATACCTTTGAGAATGATCATAAATCCACAATTAGTATGCCTAATTAAAATCATAAATTAAATCAGAAAAATAGGGTTGAAACATTAATCTACCAATGCATACGTGCCAGCAGCAGCAGAACCTAGCTCCCCAAGTTCCTCGAGATGTTTGTGGTGCTTCTCCTGCTTCTTGTAGTCTCCAGAGTCACTAGACCCATAGGTTTCAGACGTCTCGCTGTACCGTCCGCCGCGGGGCCCATCAGAAGAGTAAGCAGTGGTCTCGCCACGGCCGCCGTGTCCTCCTTCCGAGTAACTGTCTCCGTAGCCACCGACATTTCCAGTACGTCCCTCACTAGAGTAACTATCTCTGTAATCACCGCCGCCCCCACCGGTACGACGTCCTTCACCAGAGTAATCAGTGCTGTCTCCATAGCCGCCGTCATCGGTACGACGTCCTTCACCAGAGTAACTGTCGCCGTAGCCATCGCCGCCTCCACTAGCACGACGCTCTTCACCACCAGAGTAATCAGTGCTGCCGCCGTAGCCTCCTCCGCCAGTACGACGTCCTTCACCGGTGTAATCCGTGTTGTCGCCATAGCCGCCGCCACCACCACCGGCACGTCCTTGAGAAGAGTAACCAGTGGAGTCGCCATAGCCAGTGCTGTCGCCGTAACCACCAGTGCGGCCTTGATCTCCATAACCGGACTGAGAGAAGGATGAGGATTTTTCTTCGTCTCTGTCCTGGTTGAAGAGGCCGCGGCGGTGCTGCTCCTGGTTAGCCATATGTTGAGGGGTATTTTGGGTATTTTGAAGAAAATGCGAGGATGAAGGTGTTAGCTGATGTTACTATTGACACGTGTCCTTGCTGAGGTGGCAAGTTTGTTAGCTCTTCACGTGCTTATTAGTGTGATTAGTTAGTCTGTTAAGCAGGTTAGCTTAGTAAAGAAGTCATCATTACACAGCTATATAAGCTTGGGACTGGTTCATTTCATTATGATGTAACAGATACTATTTCTGAGAATATACAGAGCTTTACCTTTCTCTCTTTTATCACTTCTTCTTCTCCATAGTTATCATGGTATCAGAGCTACGGCTCTTGATCTCCAGCTTCCGCTCCGCTTGAAAAGCTTGAATCTGTACCTTTCATGGTGATTTTCATGGAAATTTCTTTCGTGCTTGATGGCTATACTTTGCACAATCTTGCGATTCTGGATGCGACTCTCCGATTGTGTTTGAGCTTCTTCCTCTTTCAATAAATTCAGTTCTGGTATGAATTCTAAACTTGTTCTCTGCATCAACATTGAATTTAGGTCAAATGATTCGGTGAATTGAGGCATAAAGCCCCTATTACGGCACGAAGCCTATATTGAAGCACGAAGCTGTTTAATTTCTGATATTTTCATTTTTCTGAGGCACAACGCCATTGTTGAAGCACGAAGCTTTTATTGAGACACAAAGTCCATTTCTGAGGCACGAAGCCCCTGTTTTCTTGAAGCACATAGGTTTTCTTGCTTATTTTTCATCTCTTCAGTTGATTGCCAATCATGACTTTTACGATGCCTAAAATCGAAGGTTTATTAGGAGTCTTAACTATTAAGCTGTCAGAAGATAACTTTGTCAAGTGGCAGTATCAGTTGCAATCAGTGCTCCAAGGATATGATTTGTATGGACATTTTGATGGCACTACTGTGTGTCCATCAAAATTTATAATTTCTGAGTCAGAGGGAGTCACAACAGAAATTACTGAAGGTTATAAGTCTTGGATTCAAGCTGATAAGGCACTTTTAAGTCTTCTTATTGCCACATTATCCGATGATGCTATGGAATATGTCATAGGTTGTAAAACGGCAAGAGATGCTTGGCTGAATTTAATTGACCGATATGCCTCAGTTTCTAGAGCAAGAGTTAATCAACTCAAGACTGAGTTGCATACTCTACATAAGGGCAGTGATTCTATTGAAAAATTCTTGCTTAAGTTGAAACACATTAGGGATCAATTGTCTGCAGCAGGAGTTCACTTAACTGATGATGACATTATCATTGCTGCACTTAATGGTTTACCACCTGAATTCGACATGATTAAAACGGTGT